GGAGGCGCGGGGGCGGCGGGCCTGGGCCTCGGGCTAGCGGCGGGACCTTGCTGCCCGCCGGCCGCACACCTGGCGCGGGGGGCCGGAGCACCCCGAAGAGGGGCACGTGGGAGCCGACTTCCCTGTTCATCTTGAGGGCCGAGGTGGGCAGCAGCCTTTGATTTTCCATCTTCGCAGGGGTTGTACGTGTCTATGGCGCTCCAGAAGTCTACACGCTACTCACTTGGTGGAAGACTGTTTTCTTAAACGTGAAGTTGCGTTGAGGAATTTTTCTCTCTGCCCCTCTTATGGTTGATGCTACCGTTTAGTCAGGTCTGTCACGAGAAAAGGCCCCTTTACCCCTCCAGTGCTTCCTAACATCTTCGAGAGAAGCATGGTCCTTTGGGAACCCTGCCATCAGTAATCGGCTTTAAACCTTGAAGTGTTCTCAGTGCCGTGATCCGCGAAGTCCGTGTTGTCTTGAGGTTTGTCTGTCTGTGCACTCTGCTTGAGAAGAAAGAATTTTTTCTTCTTAGCCTTGGAACAAGATCATAACTTTATCGTTGATACCTTTGTATATTATAGGTTTGAAATGGGGGGGGATGGGGGTAGAAGGGGAAAGATTTTTGCCTCCAGTTTGATAACCTTCAGAGAGTCCTTAACTGAAACAAAACTGATAAATGAGGCAGATTTATTTTGTATGGTTCGCAGAATTACTGGCAATATAAATGGGATATTTATGGACGGAAACCCTGAGATTTTTGTTTTTTTAATGTATTTTAAAGTAGAAGTGTGAACTTGAAATTAACTCCACACAGTGTGCACGCCATAGACTTAACGATGTTAGGGTTATGTTTTCGAATAAGAAGGAAGAGGAATCCGGTAAAAGATTTAGATTTTTATGTTTATTGTTTTTAGGCTAGGGATGGATGTTGGCTCCTCACCTGGTAGTTCAGTGGACATCAGCAAAAGAATCTGTGTTCCGCTCTAAAGGGGTAGTGTGTTAGTTTGCACACTGTCTGCCATTTTCCCTCCTTCTGTTTCAAGAAGAGTTATTTAATTTTTAGTAAAGAGAAATGTATATTAATTCATGTTATCCCCCATATTAGTTTATACAGAGAACCATGATAGGAGGTAAAAGTGTGTTCATATTTGATGTTAGTTTGCACACTGTCTGCCATTTTCCATCCTTCTGTTTCAAGAAGAGTTATTTAATTTTTAGTAAAGAGAAATGTATATTAATTCATGTGATCCCCCATATTAGTTTATACAGAGAACCATGATAGGAGGTAAAAGTGTGTTCATATTTGATAAGTAAGGATTTTCGTGGCTCAGAAACCCAGCTGTAGAGCTTTTTACACCTGTGGAGCTTTTGAAAGAACCAGGCCCAAGCCTCACTTCCATCAAGTCATGCGTTAGAATGGGTTGAGAAGACAGAACTTTGAAGTTAAATTTATTTTGCCTGCAATATAGTCTTAATTTTTGTGTAGTAACAGATGTATACAATTTTTCCTCTTCCATGTTTTTTTGGTTGATGAAAACTTTTCCAGGACTTGGATTAGACTTTTATAATTGTTGGTCAAAGCTTAATACAAATCAGAGAATTTACTTGCCGGTGTAGGGCAGAAAGGGCCGTCAGTGCTCAGGTTGGAGTGGAACCAGAAACTGGAAAGTGGTGGAAACCAAAGGTTTTTTTCTCTTTCTGTTTTTCTGCCTTCCTCCTTCACTCTCTCTTTACGTTTTGTTTTGTGAGTCAGCTTTATCATCTTTTCTTGTAAATCAAATGTCTTTGCTTCTCCTGGCACTTGATAGAAGATGGCTCCCTCTTCCCACATTTCACATCAGGTGACCAGTGGTGACTAACTGGGAAGAGCTTTCAGAGGAGGGGAGGGTACCAGCTGGGCAGATGCTGTATTTATCCATTGTCTTTGCTTTAGCTGCTCAGTGCAGACCCATGTTACCCTACATTTGAAGAGGAACTGTACCCCACTCCCCCAGTTGCAAACAGTGATTATGATGATGGTGGCATGTGCTCATTATAATATAGTGCTTATTACATGACTGGCTCTGGTCTGAGCACTTCATCTATACATACTTAATTCTCAAAATTCTGTGAAGAAATTGAGGCACAGAGAAATTAACCTGACCTAGATCACATAGCCTGAGACTGGAAAAGCTGGGATTTTTAACTTTAGAGATCTAACTTTAGAGTCTGTGCTCTTCAGAGCCCAAGCTGTACTGCTTTGTTCAGGTAGCTTTGAGCCTAGGTGGAGCTCGTGGCCATCATCCTGCAGTCTATAGACTAAATTAAATGATAACACCCTTCTTATGTGACATGTAATAGGGGAAGGAAAACAGGACAACTGATTGAAAAATTAATTAGAAAGAAAGAAAGGGGGAGAAGTATCTAGGGCTCTCAAAATGGTGGTCACAGTGATAGTCAAGTAAATTATAGGAACAGGAAAGATTATGGGCATTAGTTTCATGGCTGACTTCTTAGCAGTAGAGGAAATGGTCAGCCAATCTGGATGTCACATATTTGGCTGCTGATATTATTGCTGAAAGAATTTCCATTGCTCTTCAGGAGTACTCCCTATGGACGTGCACCCAGACAACAAGAGCAGTTGACATCTGGCTGGTGCTGCATCTGTACTCGAGGTTGTGACTTATGGGAAAGGTCATCCTCAGTGGGGTTTAGTGACTCTTGTGCCTTTGCTTTTTAGGCTCTCTTACTTGATGAGAACCTTAAGGGGTTTCCTGACAATTTTCAGTTTTTGAGACTGCCATGTGAGCTAGTATCAGAGATCTTGTCTGGTCATGGCAAAATATGTCAGCCCTGCACTTTGCTGCCTTTCAGTCCAACTGACCAGTAGAATAGCAGCCCACCTCTCTTCCGGTTCTTTGGAGAGAGTGAATCTGATGGGCCAAGCTTAGGTAAGGGTCTACTTCTAATCATCTATAGCCAGGGGTTAGAGTCCCGTCATACAAACTGGACTCTAGAGGTCATCCTGATGGGTTAAGGGAAAGGAAGGGGGAAGTTCTGTTTTCAGGATTCATCCATGTTGTAGCATGTATCAGTACATCAATCCTTTTTAGGCCAAATAATATTCCATTGTGTGGATATACCACATTTTGTTTATCAACTCATGAATTGATAGTTTTTTCCACTTTTTTTGCTAGTATGAATAGTGCTATAGGGAGATTCCAGAAATTGAGAATAATCAGCCTTTTGAATATGTATGTTGATAAAGTTTTAGTCACTGTAGAACCAAGTAGTGAGGAGCCATAGAGGAACTTTACTTCTGTTTTATTAAATCTGTGCTCCTTAAAGGAGAAATATAACAAAGTCCTGCTTGAGTGAGGAGAGCTCATTGAAATTATTTTTAAAATTTAATATTATAGTGTGTTTTCATCTTGTAACCATTCAGCTTTTCTTTTTTTTTTTTTTTCATAAAGATGACCGGTAAGGGGATCTTAACCCTTGACTTGGTGTTGTCAGCACCACGCTCAGCCAGTGAGCGAACCGGCCATCCCTATGTGGGATCCGAACCCGGGGCCTTGGTGTTATCAGCACCGCACTCTCCCGAGTGAGCCACGGGCCGGCCCTGTATATCCTTTTATGACCTAGCTTCAAAAGTCACATAATGTCATTTCTGCCATAGTGCCAGATTCAGAGACCCCACTTCTCAGTGGAAGGAGCATCAAACCCGCAGCCAGTGAGCGAACCGGCCATCCCTATGTGGGATCCGAACCCGGGGCCTTGGTGTTATCAGCACCGCACTCTCTCGAGTGAGCCACGGGCCGGCCCCATTCAGCTTTTCTTGATAGACTTTCTGGAATCTTGGGCTTCCTTTCTAATTTGGGCAGGTTGCTTTCTAGACCTGTTTTCCAGCTGTCATTCAGCTTTTCTTGATAGACTTTCCGGAATCTTGGGCTTCCTTTCTAATTTGGGCAGGTTGCTTTCTAGACCTGTTTTCCAGCTGTCATCCTGGGATTTCTTTACATTGTACTCCTAGTTAGGTCTGTTGTTTGGTTCCAATGTCTTTCTTTTTTTATATGCCTTTTTTATTTTACTGGGCTACAGTCTTGAGTAAATTGTTTCAGGAAGGATATGCAGGTGATAAACTTTCTAAGTTCTTGAATGTTTGAAAATGACTTAGCTTTGTTCCTGATTGAAAGTTTAGACATTGATTATAAGTTGATAATACAGTTTTTCTCCTCAGAACTTTAAAGGCTTTGCCGAAAGAATTTAAAATACCCAGTGTTGCTAATAGAGGTTCATTGCAGATCTGATGGTTATTCTTTTCTAGTAACCTCATTTACAGTATTTATGATGGTCTCTGTATCCTTGGTGTTGTGAAATGTTTTGTGGTAGGCCTGTTTTCATTCCTCCTGGTGGGTGCCTTTTCAGTTCTAAGAGTCTTCAAATCTAGGGAATTACCTTCTCTTTCTTTGGTAATTTTTCCCTTTCCATTTCTCTTTTCTCAGAGACTCTTGATGGGTGAATAATGGATAGCTCAATATTGGAATATTGACATTTTATTTGTTTACCTTCTGGAAGATTTTCTTGACTTTGTGAACTCTTATATAGAATTTATTTTAGTAATTACATTTTTAATTTGTAGGAGCTCTATCCTCTTTTTTGGTTTTCTTCTTTTAAAAATAGCAACTGTCCTTGATTTATGGGGGAATATTTCTGAGGATGCTAACTTCTTTAAAAAC